AACAGGATTTAGAAGAATATGTTACACACAGGATATGCACATATAGCAGCACTAGGAGCAATATTCTGTCCCAAGACCCTTTGGGGCTAGCCTGTAATTCAAAAAATGCCAAAAATGTCTGGAAGTCCTGTTTAGTTTTTGTAAAATTCCTTTTTTAAAATGTTAAGCCATTTGATGGTACAGCTGAATTAAAAGATGAATGGTTGTTTCTGAAAGCTTCTAAAAATGATAAGTCACTTTTAATTTTTGGATCTTATAATAGTATAGGTAATCGGAAGGAGGTTTGTGCATATAAACATTCTTTGTGCAGACCTGAATGTTGTTGTGTGCCTTCAAGCAACATATTATAGTGTTTTCTTTGTTCCAAGTGGATTTGTCATTGCCTTTCTCTGAGGCTGAGAGAGTTCCCATGTTTGAGTGGGGTCTTTAACTCTGGTTTCCTATAACCACTACATCATGCTGGCTCTAACTGAATTACTCATTGTTTTAAAAGTAATACTGTAGATAGCACATGTTACTTTTTAAAATGAGGAAACTTAAAAAAAAACCCAAATATATCTCAAATTATTTGTAAAACCAGAGAAGTGAATATTATTTGTAACAGCAGACAATGGAGGTCATTACAAGACCCCATCAACAACGTGGAGGGCACTGAACGAGTGCCTGTTGTGAAGCTGCCCTGAGTCCCCCCTCAGAGGCGAGAAGGACAGGGTACAAATGTAAGAAATAAATAAATAAATATAACTAAGGCCCCATCAGTAATGCCATTATAATTCAGATTGAACGTCATTATATGGTGAATGTAGACTCACATAATAAATGCAGGTTAACTGTGTTGAATAGGATTATATGCACCATATAATGCAATTCAATCAGCATTATAATGGCAGTGTAGATCGGACCCTAAGTACATTGTTTTAAAGAAACAATATTGCTTCGTCCTTGTTACCCTTCCAAATTAACACACTGAAACTTACATCATTGCTTTCAAGATCTGACATAATATGATGGGCAATACTTGACTGATGTGATTTCACCTCAAATATGGAAAATCTGTATGATTCTTTGACTTTCAAATGATGCATTTTCATGAGGGAGGGAAGGATAGTTTTTCAATGGAGAAATATCATCTATGAGAGCTGCATATCAAAGCAGGAACGCAAAGGTACTAAATCCTGAAGTCTGTATTATATCTTGGAGATGTCACAGCTACTCTACCAGCATTATAATTTCCCAAATGAACATATCTTCTTTTTTTAAAAAATGTGAATAATGTCCCGGATCTGCAAATTTCTAATTTGGCAGGCTTTATGTCTTATTCAAGCTACTCAACTCTCTAGTGTCTACTCACATCCAAAAAGATAGACATAAATAAACCAGAAGAAGAATGTTTTATGCTGAAAAATAACAAATTCCACACTTTGTCTTAAAAAAGAATAAAACATTTACTTGGTTAATTAAATATGGGCACTGCTTTTGTCATGAGAATCCTCCTCCTCTCTTAATGTTATTGTAGCATTGACAGTTTCTGAAAATAAATTATGGCTAGCATAATCCAAGTCTCATATTTTTCTGGGCAGTTGGCAGTAATAATTAAGTAAATACATAGAACTATAGTTAATTATACTACAAGAAATCACTGAATCAATAAGCTTTAAACCTCCCATCACACTTACCTTCAAGACTAATGAACTGTTAATCTACAAAATCAATATAAAAACATCAGAAAAAGTAACAAAAAACAGCAGGAACAGCAAAGCATTACACATCCCCTTTCACTTTCCAATAATAGATAGATTATTCACTTTCCAATAATAAAAGATAGATACACTTCTTAAAATGTCAAAAAATACTTTAGTATTGTTGTGCAAACAAAAGTCCTTAAACCAAACCAAACCAAAATGTTAAAAATGGGGTTGAACCATTCCTTGGCATAGTGTCTTAATATGTGTGTTATCTTTTCTGGTTCAAGACAAAAACGTTTTGGGTAGTCTTTACAAGGGTGTAAGCCCCTATGCCTAAATAAACATATAGAAGATTGCCTTGTGTGTATTACATTTGTGGCCACTAGTAAAACATAGGAATACAAAAGAAATAAATTGTGAGCATTTCGCAGAAATTCCAGCCAAATCGGTCTTTTTTCCATTATGTTCACAGAATTTAAGAAGCTCCCTTTCCTCCCATCATGTAATTTGATTTTGCTGGTATAATAATATTGGCTAGAGCTTGGAAATGTTACTTTTTGAAACAGAATCTCCCTGTTAACACGACCATAATCTATGCAGATTGGAAACTGTAGCATTTAAATGCAAAAAGTTAATTTAGCCACAAACTTGCTGATGTAGGTGGGAGTTGTAGACTAGAATATCTCCACTCCTGTCATACATTTTACCCTTTCAAAAATAATGGAAAAAAGTTGCTTTTGGAGATTATTTGCTCTCCAATATCCCTAAGAACTCTCCAAGGCGCATGGTGGCTTTTTTTGAAAGATACCCTCCACCACCACTTTAGGCCAAGGAGAAGCATTCTAAAACTCAAGAAACATTTTCTGGGTCACTTCCTAATGGAAGAAAAACCCTGCTCTTCTGTGTCTAAAATGGCTATGGAACACTACAAAACATGAAAGAAAATTCCCCCACAAAGGCCAACAACTGACTTGTGGGGAGTGGGGGATGTAACCCTCCAAGGGCTTCTGGAGCCTAATACAATCCCCTATCCTAAAACAGATTTTTCAAGTAATTCAATGAATTCCAACATTTATATTGTTAAGCAGAAACACAAGAAAAATACTGTAAACCAACCAGTGGAAAGCAGTAGGGCTGGGCGGTTTCGTTTCGTTAATTCGTAATTCGTTAATAATTCGTTAATTTTTTCAATTACAAAACGATAACGAACCATTCTGGAGCAATTATTAAAAAACGAATTTTCAAAAATGTTTTGTAAATGCTTCGTATTTCGATATTGTATTCGTTTCGTTATTGTTTTGAGGTCGTTTCGTTATTATTTCCACATGTCTGGGCCAGTTTTATGGTTTACTTAGTGAAAAAAAATTATAATATCACACCACAGTCAACAGCAGAGGGAGAGGGAAGCTTCAGAAAGTTTTGGAGGTTTTTTAGCGTATTTCGCGGTCGCATCCGCCATTAACGAATCGATTCGTTATTGTTTCGGACATCGATTCGTTAATTTTTACCATTTACAAAATTTCGTAAATATCGAACTTTTTAAAAGGAAAATTTTGTAATTATTTTAAATATCGAAACAAAAAAAACCCCAAATACAAATCGATTTTAGAAACAATTTTTTCCATTGTTACCCAGGCCTAGAAAGCAGTACTTGTTTGTATCCCTAACAAGTGCTATTCAGAGACACATGTTCTCTAGGATGGAAGGAAATAAATATATAGGCATTACGTGTAGTAGTTTTTGAGAACATTATACAGTTCCCCAATTCCCTTTTAAAATTATTTAAAGTGATGGCCATCAGTTCCTTGATTATCATTCAGCATGGACAGTGAACTCTGTATTTTATGTTCTCCCTATAGCTCATCCAGAGTTTAGGGTAACTTAGACCTTTCAAATACAACTGCTTTCGCAGTAAGATTTTTTAAGGGTTTATTTTATCTTGGTTTCATTATAGCTTTTATAGATGCTATAACAATTGAAGAAATGGTGCTTGGTATTTGTATGCTTTTAAGTGGGAGTAAAACAATGACAGGAAAAGGAAGGTGGGGAGAGGCTTCTTTTAAACCCTGTAATTTCAACAAGCTCAAAGCATTATATTTTGTGGGGTGGGGAATAGGGGAATGCACATGATGTTAACTTGGTGCCAAAAGCAAAATAATAATTGGTATGTACTGTGCCGCCCCCACACAACAACATGGTGCTATATTATACTCTTAATCATTGACTACAAAAAATACACAACGAATGTAACTGTTTGTGTTTGATAGGTGCCATCCTGTTCAATTATACACATCAGGTTCTCTCCTGACTCAACAAAACATGGATTTTATATGATTTTTTTTTCATACATCATATAAAAGATATCTGAAGGATTATTGTGCTTCTAAGGAAATCTCTCCAGTGTTACAATTCAACCTTTGCTAATGCTTTGTGGCAAGCAGTTGACTATTGTGATGAAAAAAATTACTGCCACATGCACTGAAACACAAAGCAGACTCAATGATCATCCCCTTAAGCTCATGCTGTGTTTTCTGCATCCAGGATTTCTCATTTGCAGGTGGTAGTACATGTGGTCTTAGCCCACCAAGGATCCACATTCCTTGGCTGTTGTATAGCCATAGTATCATTAAAAGCACCACTAGAGTTACCAGGTCAGGATTATCCTGGATCCTGAGATCTGAGGGCCAAATCCTAAGACCTAGAGTTAACCACCCTCCCCATTACATTACAAAGGCAGACCTTGTTAATGTAATAAGAGTACTGTTCCATTATCTTGGTAGACTCCAAAAGGGAGTGTAGACAGAGACAATCCATTTTATTGGAGGGGACCATTTCTCCTGTTTTCACTGGTTATTCCGCTTCCTCACTTCCAATTTCATAAACAAGGGTTGTTTCCACGAAAGGGACATGGGTGGGGGGAATAACAGGAAAACTGGGGGAAATGGTTTAACTCCTTCAACCCACCATCAACCCTGTAAAATGTACTATCCTTCTCTCTCTAGCGCCCCCTTGTGGCCTCTGCCCAGATAATGGAACCGTACTGTAATAAGTTTAATCTTACAAGGGGCAGACCCTACTCATATAATTGACACATAAAACATGAATCACAATTATGCATAGTAGGCCATTCAAATTAAACACCAAGTCTTTATAATGTTGAACACACACACACATTTAAAAGCAGCGGTTTCACCCTGAGATTCTTCCCCCTTGCCATGAGCATGGAGAAGAAGGGAGACCTAAGCACAGTGGTATCATAAAATATAACATGTTATTGAGGCTTTAAGGATGTATTTCAGTCATAAAGTTACTTACTTCAAAATTACACAGCCTGTACCCAAAGCAGGTGCCGTCCAGAATACTTGAATGCGTGTCCTCCTTCTTGGTGTGCTCTCAGTCACAGCTACAGGGCAGTTGCTCATGAACTGTGTTTCCTCCTCATCTATTATCTAAAGAAAGATGAAGCAATGTTTCATAAGATTTGTCAAATACAGCTACAGAGAATATAGATATAGGTACTATATCTATATTACTACTATACAAAAGAACTGGGCACTACACAAAATTATATCACAAATATATATCCAGAAAATCATGTGCATTATAGAAATTATGGATAGTCAAATCAGACCACCAAATTATAGATGGGACTGTAATTCTGCTGTCACCAGTGGAAGAAGATTATTTCTGAAAAACATGAGGGCCTCAATTAGATTCTGAATGTCCACTTGAAAAAGCTCTTTGTAGATAATGCTACAAAGTTGGTATCCTTAGCACACTGAGTTATAGGTTTCTAAGTGTAACCCATTGGACTTGCATAAAATCTCACCATTCTAGAGTAATGATCAATTCTGTGGAGTACTCTCCAGCCTATCTTAATAAAGTCAACCAACCTCTGATAAGTATATTAGCACAGATAATGTGAATCATCATTATTATTGTGGTCCTGCTTTTTCCCCATGATTGGGAGCCAAAGTGGTTCACAACCTAAAAGGCAAGACTATTAAAAACATACAAAATGTAAATATTAAAACAGAATGAAAATATTTATCATCATTTCAACAACTATTAAAACAATTCGTAAAAATATAAAAGCTGTTGAAAACAGTTCTACCAAAACAATACAGCACCCTGTTTTAAAAGAATCAGCGAAGCAGGAAGTTGGAATGGGCCTATGGGATCAACGCACAATTTTCAGCTAGATCACCCCCAGCATCTTTTGGATGACATCCAGAGAAGAACCTCTCTATGCATTTGATTTTAACTGACGAACCACTCTCACTTTAATGCAGACAGATAGAATTTACAGAATAAATACAAACTATGCGAGAAAAAATAAAATGCCACGAGACGTGATTGTTCATCTTGTTAAAAAGACAATAAGAGATTAAATTCTGAGATTGAATGGGAAAAAACAGATATTCTACAAAGGTGAGAAAGTAACGATTCTGAAAGAAATTCCGGCGACAGCCCTAAGAAGAAGAAGGAAATATACATTCCTCACAGAGGAGTTAAAAAAACAAAAGATATGCTACAGGTGTGAAAAAGAAGAAGGATTAATGGCTACGTACAAAGAGCAAATATATTGGATAACAAATGAGGAAAGAGCCAGAGATTTTTTCGATGAAATAAAAAGAGACAGAGAAAGAGGCAAAGAGAGAAGATTTGGAAATAAGAACAAGAATAACCAACCAGACACAACAGCAAAAGAAGAAAATAATAGAGAAGAATACAGAAGGAAATTAAGAGGCTGGACCAGAAACAAATCAAAAAAGGAAGATGAAGACCAACCATTGGAAAATGAAGAAGAGGAGGAAGAGGAAGAGAGGGGAGAAGAAGAGAGAAGGGAGAGAGAAGTTGAAGAAGAAACAAAATGCATGGAGAACTGAAAATATACTCGAATAACATAAATGGTCTAAATTCACCGAATAAGAGAAGTTTTCAACAAATTAAAGAAAAAACATTACCATATAGTGGCACTACAAGAAACACATATAGCCCAATGACATGCGACACATCTAAAAAACAAAAACCTAGGGAATCTATACTATGCATCGACTCAAGAGAAGAAAAAAGGCATAGCAACATACATAGATAGGAAAATCACATCAACATTGGTCTTTAAAGACGAAGACTGTAGATACCTTGGAGTGATTATACAAAATCAAGGCAAGAAGATTCTAATTTGTAACATATACGCTCCAAATGATTCAAAAATCAATTTTGCAACAAAAGTAAAAACGCAGATAGAACAAGAAGAATTTAATCAACTGATAATATTAGGAGACTTCAATGGAGTCATAGATGGAGAAATAGATAGGAGTAAGAAAAGTAGACAGAAAAAAGGAAATAAGAAAACAAGTGGAAATCTACCAAAATCAATAACAAACTTTGATGAAAGAATTTAACCTATGTGATGTATGGAGGACAAAAAACGAGACGACAAGAGACCACACCTTCTTTTCAGAAAGGCACAAAAAGTGGACTAGGATAGACATGATTTGGCTGTCAAAATCTTTACTAATTGAAGTCAAAACGATAAAAATCTATTCAAGAGAGGATTCAGATCACAGCCCTCTAGAATTAGTATTAAATGAAGCAAAAAAAGGATGGAGATGGAAATTGGATGAAAACTTATTGGCGAAAGAAGAAGACATAGAGAGAAACAGGGAAATTATGAAAGAAATGACAAACCAGAAACACATATGTTCACGGTATGGGAAGCAAGTAAAGTGGTCATGAGGGGATATTTTATCCAACAAAAAGCAAGAAAGAAAAAAAATAATAATACAAAAAAGGGAGGAAATTAGACAAGAAATCAACCAGGAAGAAGCCAGATTAAAAAGAAATCCAAAGGAAAAAAAGATAAAAGAAAACCTTATATTACTACATAAACAAAGAGAAATTTTGGAAATGGAGGAAAGAGCAAAACAATTAAAATTTATGAAATAAGACTACTTTGCAAACACAAATAAACCGGGGAAGTGGTTGGCAAAAAGGTTAAGGAAGAAAAAAGAAGCATCCTACATGACGAGATTGAAAGAAGGGAACAAAGTCTATACAAAAGAGGAGGAAATAAGAAACCAATTCAGGAACTTCTATAAGAATTTATATCAGGAAGAAGAGATAAAAGCAGAGGAGGTAACAGAGTACTTGTGTAAACAGAAAATTAAAAAAATTTCAGACGAACAGAGAGAAGAGTTAAACAAAGAAATAATAGAACAAGAAATAAAAGAGGCAATAAGAAGTATGAAGGCAAATAAAGCGCCAGGCCCAGATGGCTTAACAGCGATATATTACAAAACTTTCCAAAATGAACGCTATCTAAAAAAAATTATGAACGAAATAAGACAAACCAAGAAGATGTCGGAAACTTGGAGACAAGCAACCATATGTGTGATCCACAAAGAGAATACAGACCCTGATAACGTAAAAAATTATAGACCTATCTCTCTCTTAAATTTGGATTATAAAATATTTAGTTTCATAATTGCAGAAAGATTGAAGAAATTACTAAGCAAGACAATAAAAGAGGACCAAGCAGGTTTTTTACCCAAAAGAAATAAAAATCAAAACGTGAGAACAATTGTGGATTTAATTGAATATTATGAAATTAAAAACCAAAAGAAAGTGATGTTATTGGCTATTGACACGGAAAAGGCTTTCGACAATGTAAATTGGAACTTCCTGAAATTTTTAAAGAAAGAAATGGACATTGGCTACTACTTCCAAAATATAATAAATGCCATCTACGAAAAACAAGAAGCAAAAATACTGATAAACGGATAGGAAACAGAAAGCCTAGAAATCCAAAAAGGAAACAGACGGGGCTGCCCATTGTCGCCTTTGTTATTTATATTAACTTTAAAAGTCCTAATGGACAAAATAAGAGAGGAGAAAGAATTAAAGGGCACGAAAATACAAGGAAAAGAATATAAAATCAAAGCATTTGCTGATGAATTAATTTGCATTATAGAGGACCCCCTGGAAAGACTAGGAAAATGGTTAACAACGATAGGAGAATTCGGAACAGTAGCAGGATTCAAAATAAATATAGAAAAGATGAAAGCATTGACGAAGAACATATCAGCCAAAGAACAGAAGAAGATAGAGGAAGTATGGAAGATAAAAATCGTGCAAAAATTAAAATACTTAGGGATTATTTTGACAACAAAAAACTTACATCTGTTACAAAATAATTATACAGAAACATAGAAGAAAATAAGAAAAGATATGGAAAATTGGAAAAGTCTAAATCTAAGTCTATTAGGGAGAATTGCGACAGTGAAGATGAAAATATTACCAAAAATGGTTTTCCTCTTCCAAAATTTGCCAATAATAAGAAATCAAAAACTGCTGAAAGAATGGAATAAAGACATGATGAATTTTATATGGCAAAAGAAAAAATCAAGAATAAAATTTAAAAATATGATTGAGGAAAGAAAAAGAGGCGGCATGGGAGTACCAGAATTCAAGATATATTTCGAAGCATGCGCATTAATGTGGATACGGGAATGGTCAAAATTAGAAAATGAAAAATTATTGAATCTAGAAGGAATAGACTTAAGAGCAGGATGGCATAAGTATTTATGGTACGAAGGAGTCAAAAAAGAAAAAAAGTTTGGAAATCATTTTATACGATCGGCTATATATCAAATATGGGAAAAATATAAGAAAAAAATCTGTGAGAAAACACCATTGTGGATATCACCGTTGGAAGCTGTACAAAGAAGGGAATTAGGATGGAACGATTGGCCAAAATGTAAAGAATTGGTGAAAAAAGAAAAAGGGAAAATAATCCTAAAAACCCAGCAAGAGATGAAGGAAATCAACAGGAAAATTTCATGGTTTCAATTTGGGCAGATAAAAGAAAGTTTCAAAACAGACGAAAAGATTGGTTTCGAAGAACAAACAACATTCTGGGACACTATAATGCAGACGGAAAAAAAATAACAAAGATATACAAAAAATTAAGAGAATGGAACAAGGACCCGAGTGAAGAAAAGGAATATATGAAGAGATGAAAATAAAATATTGGAAGAAATATAAAAATAGAGGAATGGAAAGAAATCTGGACAAAGAAATTAAAATATACGTATGCAACAGATCTTAAGGAAAATTGATTAAAAATGGCATATAGATGGTACATGACACCGTATAAATTAGGCAAATGCTATAGTAATGTCAACACAAGCTGTTGGAAATGTAGAAAGAAGGAAGGCACTCTGTTTCACATGTGGTGGATAAGGCAAAGTCGTATTGGAAAAAAATACATGAAATAATGCAAAAGATGTTAGGTATAAATATCCTACTAAAACCAGAAATATTCCTGTTAGGAATGACAACATCAAAAATGGAAAAAAATACTGACAAAGTATTATTTTTACTAACAACAGCGGCGAGGATGTGTTACGCAAAATTATGGAAGAAAGAAGAAATACCAGAACCAGAAGAATGGCTACAGAAAGTGCATGACATTAGAAATATGGACAGACTTACATTTTTAATATCCAGAAGTAAGGATAATCCGACACAAGAGACAAATTGGGGAAAAATTACTGACTATTTAAAGGAGATAAAATATAAGACGATAGTTTAAATAAAAGTAAATACCTCTAGGAAGAAGGAAGGAGAGAAGTCTACGACAGACGAAAGGATAGAAGACAGAGAAAAGGAGAACACCTCCACTAACTTACTTAGGAAGCCACGAAGACATGCAACTTTTTTTTCTTCTTTTCTCTTTTTTTTATTTACCGACCTAGTTTCCCGTCCCTCCTCTGCCTTTCCCCCTTTCCCTCCCCTTCCCCTTCCCTTGCACTATATACTCGTTTTTTTCTTCCCCCTTGTTTTTTAAATTATGTCACAGAAAATTCAATAAAATATATTTTAAAAAAAAAGAAGTTCCTTCTAATGTTCCTTCTAAACTTCATGGGCTTAAAGAGCTGGGCATGTTTAGCCTGCAGAAGCGAAGACAGAAAGGAGACATGATGGCCATGTATAAATATGTGAGGGGAAGTCATAGGGAGGAGGGAGGGAGCTTGTTTTCTAGTGCCCTGGAGACTAGGATGTGGAACAAGGAAAGGCGATTCCGCCTGAACATCAGGAAGAACTTCCTAACTTTGAGAGCTATTCAGCAGTGGAACTCTCTGCCACTAAGTGTGGTGGAGGTTCCTTCTTTGGAGGCTTTTAAACAGAGGTTGGATGGCCATCTGTCAGGGGTGCTTTGAATGCTATTTTCCTGCTTCTTGGCAGGGGGTTGGACTGGAAATTCTATGAGGTTTCTTCCAACTCTATCATTCTATGATTTAGTTCAAATCTACTCTACTATAACATAAAACCATTAAATCTAGTTCTACCATCTGAGGCAGCAGAAAATAAACCAGCACTCTCCCCTTGTGGGAACCCTTGGGGTATTTAAAGAGTATAATCATGTAACTTCTTGGTCTTCTCTTCATCAAGCTGAACAGGTCCAATTCCTTTAACCTCTACTATTTTGTTCTCTGTTTATCTTATCATCCTTGTTGTCCATATTTGAACATGTTCTAACTTGTCTGAATTCTTCTTAAAGTAAGGCATTCAGAATGGAATGCAGTACTCCAAATAAAACCTAATCAGTACAGAATATAGTGGGACTATCACTTTTCTTGACTTGGGAATAATGCTTCTCTTAATGCAGCCTAACATAACACTTGCCTCCCCCCAACAAATATGTACAATATTCAACAAGGCTGAAGCAAATGAAAGATGCATCCCTGGAGAAACATAGGACAGAAGCAAAGAAAGTAAACTGAACCATGCACACAAGACTCATCCAAAGATAGATAGTTAGATAGAAAGAGAGAACAGTTCAAGCAAATTTCTAACAAGTTGCTAATAGACAGGTCCCCCTAATATCCCTAAACTGGCAAGCTAGAATAAACCAGCAGTTCCCAAACTTTGCTCTACAGAGCATTTAGGGCTCTGCAAAGCAGAGTCATGGGCTCCATGCTTCCCTCCTCCCCCTCCAAACACATGGTGGTAAGGAACTGGTCAGCTGTTTGCTCCCCCACCACCAAAACAGTGGAAGCGCATGTATAAGGATATTCCGGAACAATCGAGTAATAGAGAGAAGATTTTAAATAATTTTAATTTATCAGACAGGGCAAGATATAGAAATAATTGCCCCTCACTGCTTCATCAATTATAAGGAACCTGGGGAAACTATACTAGCCGATTGCCATCAATTATAAGGAACTTAGCAGGGAAAGGAACAGGGTATTTTAAAATAGTAATTCCCACAAGCTGCCAACAAACTTATATATAGGTGCAGGGGAATATTTTAAAATGGGAAAGAGGCAACTGGGAGATCTTGAAACTGTTGCTTCAATTGTTTTCGCTGCCACCTTTTTGTTTGATATTCAGGCTGAGTTGTATGTGAAGAGTATACTTAGTAACACCCTTTTGTGTTACCGTGGTGTTTGTTTTATTTAGAGGGTTTAAATCACAATGATGTTCACAATAAAGCTGTTGTAAAGTGCTAACAATAATAAAACTTTTATTTAACAGGCTTAGACTTCTTCTGGTACAAATGCGTAGTGGTTTCGGTAAGTTACTAGTAAGCTTCTGTTTACGTTTGATGTACAATTCTTAGATGGGTTCTGGGATCAAATCTTGATTATCTCAGGAAATTAATCTCTGATAATAATTCCAAACCAAATTTCCCCCTTTCTGGAACCTAGCCTTTGGCCTAGCCTTTCTCAGGGACAAAGGACAGACGATAAACAAGGTCCTGTTCCACTATCTGTATTCCTAGCTAATTTCTCTAGCTCTTGAATACCACAAAAGATTAACCCAGCTCTCCTATCTAACACCAACCAACTGTTATCACCAACTGACAAACTCTCCCAACGGACAAATTCCAACTGCCAACTGAAGCTTCAGTTCAAAAGGTACATTTTTTTCTTTTTGAACGCTAACCAATCTTGGCTGTCTAATCTCTGCTTCCTGGATTAGGGCACACCCCCTCTAGAAAACCCATAAACTAAGATGGCATCTCCTTGTTTCCCTATCCTAAGATGGCCACCAGGGCTTCGCCAGGCCCACATTCTAGCTGCTTAAGGTAAGGAGTTCTTTACAGCATGCTACCAGAAGCACCCACTGTTGAAAGTGGGACAGTGAAGAAGGGCAGGGTCCTTTTGGCATGGCAGTGGAAAGGGGATGTGTGGTGGGACCAGGAGCGCCGGTGGGGCTCTCAGTGAAGAGTAGCTGGGTGGTGGGGGGCCCCACAGAGTACAGGTCAGGGGGCCCAGGGGCACAACGGCAGTGCTGGCGGGGAAAGCAGCTTCCAGGCCCCATGGGGGGTAGCCCAGGGCCAGCTGCAGGGCCCTTTCCAGAAGGAGCAGGTCCTTGCTCACCAAGGGCTCAATGGAGAAGCAGTGCTTGGACCCTGCCACCGCCACCATCGCAATCGAGAGCTGGAACAACCTGAGACTGGTGACCCCGGCTGTGAAGAGCTTCTCCCCTTCTTCTCTTCTCCTTCCTTTCCTTCCCCTTCCCTTTCTTACCCTTGCCCTTCTTCTCTTCCTTCATTCCTTTCTCCTTCCATCCGTTCCCTTCCCTCTCTCCTTCTCTTTCTATTCCCCTCCCCTCCTGTCCTTCCTTGCCATGCAGATCCGCACATCTTCCTTGCTCCTAGTACCCTTTTCCTGCATGGGAGAAGGGGGTTGGACTGGATGACCCCCAGGGGTCTTCCACTGAAATACTGTTAGTTTTATGTTAGTTAAAATTGTTCTTAATTTTAAATGTCATATTGTTCTTTCTTTCTTTCTTTTCTTACACTACAAACAAGATATGGGCAGTGTGCATAGGAATGTGGGTTTTTTCATACAAATATTCTCTATCCATCTGCCACTGGACCAGCCTGTCTTTCAAATTTAAAAATGCAATGTGGCCCCTGTGTCCAAAGGTTTGCCCATGGATAATAAATATACATTATATATTTATTAGGTATATATATATATATATATATATATATATATATATATACACACATACATACACTATATATATATATATATGTGTGTGTGTGTGTGTGTGTGTGTGTGTGTGTGCCTGAGATAGATAAATCATTATAATATAATAACATTTCTTGGGGCTCCACAAGAAATCTTTCTTTCAAATTTGTGGATGAATTCATGTCTTAGGTGAGAAAGAAATTAGGGAGAAAGTGCAGAAAAAGAAGGCAATAAACTGTAAAAAAAGAAAGCCAATGTTTATTACATTCAAGATTTAAAGTTAAAGTTCACCTTTACTAATTACAAGGGGAAAATAACAAGGTGTATATTATTTCCCCTATTTATTCTGCAAGAAGTAAGAGATGTGGCAAGAATAGAACAAGGTCCAGAGTAATAAGTCATCAAACTGCACAATAAAATTCTACTAAATTCAAGGTGCTATCAAGCCACCAACGAGATATACTTGTATAAAATAGTTTCATCAATCTACGGTACAATTATCTTCCAGATACCAATGGCTAGGTCAAGGTGTATAAATCCTCCTTCTTTCATACAGCTGTTAATGGTAAACAAAGAGTGTGTGTGTGGGGGGGGGGGGAGAGAAATTGGTGACTGCTTAAGCCAAAATGTCAAACTACAGCTTCAATGCTTAGAAGATATGCAGAGTTTGGTTTTCATCTTGTAAAATTCTTGTGACTATTTCTACTATATTAAAAAGTTTGGCCTAAATTAAATTGCCATTCCCAGCTATATCTGACCCCTTTAATAGATTGATGAATGTTAAGTCAACACATCTTTGAATCCCTCTGATGAAATGCTCTATTTCAATTAGCACTAGCAGAACATTTTTGCTTTACAATGCCTCTCGTGCTTGAAATTTATCTTGATATTCTTAATTATTTTAACTTTTATATCCCACTGTCTTATGTAAGTTTTAATGTTAGAAGCAATCAAGATAAAATAAAAAGTACTAAAAATAGCAGTAGGCAGACAATAACATTTCAAGGCTACTGCTGTGCACTAGCATCAGTATGGAAAGGGATCCTGTAACACCTTCTTGACTAAGTGGGTAGCATAAGCTTTCATAGACTTAGGGCTTGACAACAACTACACCGACCGTATACTGCGAAGTGAACAAAGATTGCTCCTGGATGTGCTCATATCTGTGTGATTAAAAAGCAAGCCAGAAACACTTATCTCAAGTTTGTTCTGAATCCCAGAAGGATACAATTAATCACACACACATATAGGGGGTGGGCTATTAACAAACAGAAGTAAACATGAAAAAAGGATGAAAAACATGTCAGCTTGTTTCCAAAATATGTAGTTTCCAAAATGATTACAATGAAATAAGAATAAACTATAAACCAAAAACATAATACAACTGTACAAAAAAACAAACAAACCCTGGAACTATCTGCAATAAAGTGAACACTATTATGCTGTTAATTTCATAGAATCGTAGAATTGGAAGAGACCATATGGGACATATAGTTCAACCCCTGCCATACAGGAAAAGCACAATCAAAGTACTCCAGACAGATGGCTACCCATCCTTTGTTTAAAAGTCTCAAAGGAAGGCGCTTTCACCACACTCCAAGGCAGAGAGTGCTGCTGTTGAACAGCTCTCACAGTCAGAAAGTTCAGGTGGAATCTACTTTCCTGTTATTAAAACCCATTACTCCGAGTTCTAGTCTGCAAAGCAGCAGAAAACAAGCCTGCCCCCTCTTCCTTATGACAGCCTTTCAAATATTGATACATGACTATTATGTCTCCTCTCAATCTTCGCTTCTGCAAGTTAAACTTCCCCAGCTTTTCAATATACCCCATATAGGGCATGGTCTCAAGACCTTTGATCATTTTAATTGCCCTCCTCTGGACATCTTCCAGCTTGTCGATATCTCTTTTGAACTGTGGTGCCCAGAATTGAACACAGCATTCCAGGTGAGGCTTGCCCAAAGCAGAATAGAAGGGCACCATTACTTCCCTTGATGCAGCCCAAAACCCCATTGGCTTTTTAGCTGCTGCATCACACTTTTGGCTCATGTTCAACTTGTTGTCAATTAAGACTCCAAGATCTCTTTCACTTGTTCTGTTGTTGAACCAGCTCCACTGGCTACCAATCTGCTACCGAGCACAATTCAAAGTGCTGGCTTTAACCTATAAAGCCCTAAATAGTTCCGGCCCTGATTATCTGTCCAAACGTATCTCTCCTTACGAACCATCTAGGAACTTAAGATCTTCTGGGGAGGTCCTGCTCTTGCCCCTGCCATCTTCACAGGTTCGGCTAGCAGGGACGAGAGACAGGGCCTTCTCAGCGGTGGCCCCTTGGCATGGAATGCCCTCCCCAGCCCCCACCCTCCCCGGCCTCCACCCTCTTAACATATCGTAAAAGAGTCAAAACCTGGCTATTTAAGCAGGCTTTCCCAAAGTCAGTGGAACCAGGCCTGTAGCGAGGGGGGAGGGGTTAGGGGTTCAACCCCCCCCCCAAATTTTCAGGTTAAAAAAAATAAACATGGTTTACTTCTGAATTTTAACTGGCTAACCAAATCTCCATGCTAAGTCTATGAGACGCAAAAAATTAAGAGTCCCTCCAGAACTGCAAGCACTATTTCAAGCAAATATTGACAATTTATTCACACTGTCATTACTTGCAGCAATAGCCGATGTAGCAAAGCAACCAAGTTGGGGGGGGGGTGTTGAATGCTCTCATTAAGGAGTCCAGACTTGGTGGAGGTGGTTGACAGGGGCGGAGCTGCAGGCTATTGAAGGCTGCTCTGCCCCCTGCTGTGCTCTTTGCTTCAGCGTGAGCTAGGAGCCAGGTTTCAACCCCCGCCCAAAATTTTCAACCCCCCCCCCCCCATTTTCAAAACTCTCCCCCCCAAAAAAAATTTCAACCCTCCCCGAATTTTTTTTCTGGCTATGGCCCTGAGTGGAGCAGATAAACTCTGATCTCGGAATGGCTGGACAACACAACTGGATAATGATTTGGTAATGAAATGCGGAGGATTTATTGTTTTATGATGTTTTTATTGATGTTATTATGTAGTGAATTATTACCTATGTTTAAATGTTTTAGCTATTTTTATATTGTTATGGGCATAAAATTGTGCCGTTCTGTAAACCGCCATGAGTCACCCCCAGGCTGAAAATGGCGGTATAGAAATATAGTAAATAACTAACTAAATAAATAAATAAACCAGGCATCACCCATCTTTGCATTCAATTTGTTCTGGCTAAGTAAAGTATCCTTCATTTCTCTTTGTTGAAATTCATTTTGTTAGTTTTGGCCCAACTCTAATCTGTTGAAGTCATTTTGAATTTGCCTGCCTATGGTTTTAATGGTAGCCCAAAGATTCAAGTGGGTTTTTTGATCCTTCATACCAAATAACATAAATTAAATCAAACTGACTGAAAATTGCTATTTCTGCTTTGAATTCTCCTATTACTACTATCAGTCTTTATATCAAAGCTAGTGGCTAAATTCTGCTTTACCAGAAATTAACAGATATTGAATTACTTGTCATGTTTCCATTACTAACTGCTATTCTGCAACAGTTCGAAAGAGGAGGATTCGTGGTTTTTTATAG